GCAACGCTTAATTACATAAACGGCTGCGCCTGAAGCTGCATGAAATACTGAACATGAAGGAAAGCGAGCAGTAAGCAGCTGTAGCAGTTTCAGCAGCAGTAGCAGTAGCTAGCGTCCTGGTTAAGTCTATCCCAGATATATGGCAGCGCTCTGACACGCTCAATACTGTATAGAGAGAGCAAGTGAGACGCCGCGACTCAAGCTGGCGTGCAAAATCGAGATAATAAGAAAATGGCGAAAATTAAATTGTTTTTGTGCGCGCGCCAAGTGACCAATTAAAGTGAACTGGCAAAAAGTCTTCGACGCGCTCGCTTTCCCATCCCCTTAGACAAGCTGAACCAACATAGCCGTCGGCAGCGGGTAGGGGGTAGGGGGGAAACGCCACAAACGTCTTTGCCACTCCGGCTGCCACTCGTCTCTATTTTTGCAACTGAGATTTTTATCTGAAAGTATGCGATGTCTCCTGCCCCTCGTCACCCCTCCCCACTCTTGACATGTCTGTTTGTTTAGCCATAAAATCATTTTGAGATTTCTAATGATGCCAGCACCGTGGCAATGTTCGCCGCAATGAACAGCAATGAAAGAGCAAACTAAATTAGCGCCGCGGGCCTCTCAACAACAGTCAACAGTTGCGCCCGAGTCGTAAATAAAAGTTGGTTAGAACTAATATGCCAGCAAGTTTGTGGGGCCCACAAATCTTCAGCAAAGCAAAGGCTCGGCCTGCAGTGGCACATTCTGCTACCGGTTCAAGGGTTCCAGCACGCCAATGCCCTACACCTTTCGCTGTTTGCTTGCTGTTGTGACTTCAGCGCTCCGTTGTTGTACCCTGTAATCCCGCAATGAAGCCTTAAGCCGTACCCAGAATTTGTTGTAAGAAATTAAAAAGAAAAAAAAACAGGGTGGTGTCTTAGCTGACATAACGAACTAACTTTCTGACTCGTTTCTTCTTCTTCTTGTTTCCATCATTGGTTTGACATTAGTTTTGAAACACTTTAATGAAAGCGTTAAATTTCTAATTTATGGGCAGCCGTTCTTATTACACATTTATAATTTCTGGGTGGTCGTTCTTGTTACATATTTCCATGTACAACATGCTAGCTTACTTTAACTATACAGAATTTACATCTACCAAATATGAAATAATATAAATATGAAAGACTTACCAGTTGGTTCGCTGCAAACGAAAAACTGAATAAATATTCCGGGAGGGAGCCTGTTCGGTTCAGTTTTCTTGGTCAGTTTTCACGATCTTTTGAGCACATTTCAAGTTGCAAGAGACTAAATCCATTTTCGTGAGTTTAGGCATCTGCGTTCATTTTAATCATTCGGGGTGTAAGTTTTATTTTGCGGTTATAATATTGTCTTTACTTGGCGTTTAGATAAATTGTTGGTTGAAAATATAAATTTGTTGTGGTAATTTTTTCGTATGAATATCAAGATAGGCTTCATTTTAAAGCACAGTTTTTAGATGTTTACAGGGTATCTTTTGGTCCATCGTAGTCAGTTGATAGTCTCTTATAGATTTTGTTGCTATTCTTGTTTTTCGTGTGCTGTTTGTTGCCAACACTCTAATTACCGCAATTAATTATGCTGCCTGCTGAACGAGCCGAGTCCAGCTCTCTCCCTCTCTCTCTCTCTCTTTCTCTCTCTCCCTCTTAACAGCGAGGGAATTGAGCGGGAATAAACTTTTTGTTGTTGTTTTTGCTGGATGACTTGGTTTTTGACTGAAAGTTTAGCCTAACTGAGTGTGTGTGCATCACGTGTGTGTGTTTGAATATGCATCGTGTGTGTGTTTGAGTGTGTGTGTGTATTCCACAGTGCACATTTTAAACAGCATTTATTCAGAGGCTGTTTTTTGGAAGTGGGACGCGTTTGTGCTGGTTTCTCAAAGCGCATATCAAATGCACAGAGCGCCAATTAAATTAGTTTAGTTGAAAAGCTCTTAAAGCCGAAAGTTCTCTTGCCTTGGGTTCGTTTGGTCCAGATATTCAACGATGCAACTCAAATGGATTTAATAAAATTTGTATGCATACAAATAGTACTTAAATAGATGTATATGAAAACATATATAACCTGCCAATTGAAAGAAAAAACACAGTTTTAATAACATAAAAACATACCGCATCGATTTTTTCTATTTTATGTTGGACTGAGAACTGCAAGTGCCTATCGCTATATAAATTTCATTCCCTTTTTCCATCTCTTATAAATAAAATCTTACTTCCCGTCCTTTTGTGGCTCTGGAAATAGAAACTCCAAATCCAAATTGAAAAGCCGCCTTCAAATGATGCCCGCTTTTTAGCAAAATTTAAAGCTGCATTTCTGGCCTCTGCATGTAACATCCGCACATATTTGCCATGTATATATATATATATATATGTGTGTGTGTGTGAATGCCATCGATAAGGCGAATGAAAAGAGGACGAAAAACTCGCGCTGACATGAAAATGGCATTGGCTTAATAAACTCGAACAACAGCTGAAATGGCAGCTGCAGTTTTCAATGCTGGCGAAAGGGACTTTAGGCGGCCAGGCCGAAAAAAAAGAGCTAAAGTGCCCGAAGTAGTTTTGCCCGACAGTGACATACCCTATATACACCAATTTAAAAAGCTAGACAGACAGACTGTCTGATTACCCGAGATATTTAAAAAATATTACCGAAAAAGTTTCGATTTTCGAACCGACCCCGATTTTCACAAAAAACGTGATGTAACCCCTTGCTTTTTTGATATATTACATTAAAAATTTAGAATTTGAAATTTTGCCAAATGATAAAACTGATCCTTAACGGTCCAAAATGGTATACAATTTCAAAATCGCACGTTATTTGGCCGATATAATCCAAAAATCATCAAAGAAGGATGACTTTACAAACAATCCGTTTTTTGGTCAGCAACTTTTTTTATAACATCGATTTTGAATTTGTTTGAATGCCAATTGATAGTAGGGATCGCTACGAATTCAAAAAGGTATGACATTTCAAAATCAGATGTAAGCCCATTGCCTTTTTGTCAATTTTGGGTCAAAATTTAGATTTTCTTTTTTTTGATGCCAATTGATAGTACTGATCCTTACGAGTCCTAAATGGTATAAAATTCACAAATCGGACATTATTTGGCCGAGATATTTCAAAAATTCATCAAATCAGGTTGATTCTACAATCGAATGGTTTTTTGGTCGACAAATTTTTTTGACCCACCGATTTTTAATTTGTTTGAATGCCAATTGATAGTAGGGATCCCTACGAATTCAAAAAAGGTATAAAATTCCAAAATCAGACAATATTTACCCGAGATATTAAAAAAAAATCATGAAAAAAGTTGTTATTCTCGAACCGACCCCGATTTTGAAAAAAAACGTGATGTAAAACAAAATCATCAACAAAGTTTTTATTCTCGAACCGACCCCGATTTTGAAAAAAAAAAAACGTGATGTAACCCCTTGCCATTTTGGTCGATATGGGTCAAAATTTCGATTTTCAGTTTTTGATGCCAATCGATAGTACTGGTCCCTACGAGTGGAAAATGGTATCACCTTTTTGCTTAGCATCCTATCAAAACTAATTTTTAAACCTAATGGAAATATTTAATTTTTCTATCAGGAAAATAGGTGGAAAGGTAATGTTCCAATTTGAGGGAAACACTTGGCTCAGACAAAGTCTGTTAATACCCGGCTAGTATTTACATATCTTAAGAACTGTATTATACCCTTTTACGGCCGTACGCGACAACAGGGTATGCAACAAAAGCAAACGCCATCGATTCAGGCTAAAAGCGTGCGTCCCACTAAAGCTATTTGGGTGAAAAATTAGAAGTTTTTTTTGTCGAGCGACTCAGTTTCCCTTAAAGAGTTGCACGGGTCCAGTTTTTGCTTAAATGAGAGTTGCTAAAATTTGGCCCAGATGATTCCACTGACATGGGCTCATTATGAGCTTTGGCTTTGACAACTGAATGCTAAATGTAGATTGTGAGTGATATCTGCCCGGCTTAACAAATGGCTGCCGCATTTTGTGGCACGAACGCAATACCGTGCCGATGCAAAACAATTACACAAATGTCAGCGGCCGCATGCGAAATGCTGCTGCTATCCTTTGTTGGCCCAAACGACTGATGCCTGATGCGCTGGTGCTAATATCAAATGTTAATGCCTGATGCCTGATGCCATTATGACGCACAAATAGAATTGTGTACAGCGAAAAATAGTATTTAACGCTCGGTTTGGCAATAAATGTCAGTTGGGGCCAAAGTCCGCAATATGGCAGCTGTCGTTGTCATTTCTCGTGTCCGCAGCCGCATTCGCATCCGCGTTGTTTGCCATTCATCTGATTTATGCGGCTGTCAGCGCGGCCCCAGGAGTTACCAGCACCAGATGCTGGCGTTAAAAACGGACACACAGCTCGACCTCTCATCGGACAGCTGTTGGCGCACGGATACGGCAATGCGGCTGATTGACAAACCTCTATTTGCCAAAATGAACCGTTTGACATGCGGTTCGATGGCAGCGGTTGCCTTTCTCCCAGCCCGTTACACAAATGCAGGCTAAAAATTGCTTTTGTGCCGGGCTCAAACAATTTGCTTTGATTGCAATTTCAAAGCTTTCTATACTTGAGGTATGCCAGCCGATCAGCTTTCGTAGTCAAACAGAAAAAAGGCATTTACACGAAATAACGAAACGCCTAAGATTAAATACCCTTTAGGACATAGTTCGTATAGGAAGCGCATACTTATGTAATCCAAGTAGACTGCTTGCAGCTTACGCTAGTTAAATTTGAGGGAAATATTTACATTGAGGCTTACGGAAATTTGGAAAAAAATATATAAATATTGAATTTTATCTTCGAGAATCCTGTTAGGTAGAACCTTTGAATGGCGATGCATCGTCGGTTAAAATCGTTATAATTTAGGCGACGTGCTACACAAAAAATTGCACACACTTCTTGATTTTATTTTTTTTTTTACTTTTTGCACTGGTAAGGACTGGTAAAGGCAACATACAAAGATATCCAATAGGAAATCAGTACAATTTATTTAGGTATATCTAAAAGATATGTTATCGTTTTATCCTGTGTAATAAGGTCCTGGAGTCCGCGAGTATAATTTATTAAAATAAATACAAATTAGTTTCTTCCAAATACTGTACAAGTTGCATTGTGTTATAGGTAAGTCTGTGCGACCTAGGTAAAAATCAGGCAGCTATTAAACTATATTGAAATGGGTGAAAATGAGGAATATTCTTACTGAAACAGATGGTGCTAGGGCTCCTCCTACAAATCAGCAAGTAACTTTAATCTTGCAGGAATGGGTTCCTTCACAATGGTGGGAAAAATTCTTACAGAAAACTTTCTGTTAGATGGCTATTGTCTTCTATTCACAACCTGCTTTTGGATATTATTTGGTTAAAAATTGTATTAAAAATATGTACAATACTTGTTACAACACATTAAAATTTGGAATTTTCAATAACTATGACAGATTGAGCAGCTAACGAGCCATTAGTTTAGCTTAGATCGCGGAAAATCGTCATCGCTATATTCAGAGGGGGAGGTGGATTCCATCAGGGAAATGATTCGAATGTGTCGCACTGGATATTTGGTCTCCGTATCTGTCAGCACAAGGGTACTACTATAGCTATTAATTTCACGCATTACCTCGGACATGCTCATCTTAGGCTTACTTTTGTTTTTGCTTTTAGCCTCGACCTGTGGCTCGCTTGTTTTTGGTACAGAAGAAACTGAAAATGTTTTGGAATTGTTGTACGCAGCCTTGATATCATCGGTTAGGCAGAAGACAGAACTCTGCTGCTCCTTGGGTGACTCCTCCTCACAGAGTTCCACTGGCGAATCGCACTGCTCCACCTCACTTGTCTCCGGCTGGGACTTTGGGCTCAATGTATTCCCTCCAGTCAGACGGTGATCACGTACGAGCTCGAAGTTTATGCCACCAAAGACGGCATCCTTGTTGTTGATCGTGTTGCGCACATCGATAACACAGAATGTGAGTATCTCCTGGAAAATACCCAGAGTATTGGCCTCCTTGATGCCCGCATCGGTAACCAGCAAACAGCCCAGTACGGATCCAGTTTCCAGATCTCTCACATTCACATGGTAGACATTGTCCGCTCGCAGTAGAATCGTCAGCGCAATGTCTTGAAAGCAACGCTTACCCATCATTTTGAAGAGTGCGTACTGCATGCTGCTAAGGACGGGTAGATTCTTGTTCTTGCAAAACTGACACTGACTCGAGACTTTGCGCTCCAGTGTGGAATCATTTTTATTACAGATAATTTTTGCTGACGACTTTTTTATGCAGACGCACTTGGTCAACTTTTCCTTCTCACTCTCCAAGCCCTTGCACTTTTCATTAAGCGTATTAACAGTGCCACAGAGCTGCTTCAGTTGATTGTTCATCACATTCAGCTGTTGCTTCTGCTCTGCTTCTTGTGCGATCTGCTCCTCCAGTTTCTTTTTGAGCAAGCACAGTTCTATGGTTATATTCGGTATTTTTTCACATTCGGTACACTTTGTAACACACTGAACGGGCCCCATTCCTTGCCTCTCGGATCTCAGACTTTCCTTCGATGAAGCAGCCACCGATTTTTCTTGGCATGGGCAATTTACGGGCTCCACTTTTTGTGTTGATCGGCAAGTTTTAAGGGATTCCAACGATGGTTTCGAACATGGGGGTTTCGTCTTCTTCTTGTCCCTAACGAAACAGCATTTGAAACGCATTTTGGAATTCTGTTTCTTGCCTGGTGGGCATGCTTCATATTTCCATTTCGATGGCACTACTATAACTGGATGCTTGCAAACGCTTTTGCACTTGGCTTTTCTTTCAGGCTTTCTCTTTTTTTCTTTTAATTTTTCTACTGCGCAGGAGGTTATATACTCCTTAGATGCTTGTGTATACTTTTTAATTCGTTTCTCAGAACTGGTAGGCTTATCGTCATCACATACGCATCTATCAGACTGCTTTTTGGAGATGGGTATACGAACGCATGAAAGGGACAATGAGCCAACGGATGAAGTATAGCGTCCACCAGCGGGCAAGCGGCCATGGCGACTGATCCTCCGTGCAAGCGAACCACGACCTCTTGAAAGTAACCAATCTAGTCGTTCCACGCGTATTCGCGCACTCAAATATCGTTCATATGTGCGTGCAGCATCTGTAAGAAAATATATGAGCATGGATGGAATAGAAAACTATTTAGTCCATCTGGTAAGCTGTCAACATTCCAGATCAAAATTACCCATGTTGTCGATTAACTGGAAATTTACTTGCGTTCCAAACAATATCAACTCCAACTACTCTTATCTGTCTCAATTTCTCAACTGACACCTTTGTAGCACCATTTGACAGCTTGACGCTTGCTTTGCATTGTTCCCAGATACAAAACCAAGTATCATAAGTGAATTTAATTTCTTTGCCTAGTTACTGACAGCTGCCATTCCCTTTGAAGTCGTAGCTATTCAAAATATTTTCTTACCCTTTCAAGGCTACTGCGTTCAAGCCTTTGCTAGGTAATGTTATTGACTAGGATTGGCAGTTTCTTAATTTTTTTTTTCATTTCACACAAGAACCTGATTTGGCAAATAGATTTAATTTTACGGCAACTTCACACACATTTCACTGCATTGAATTTTCGTGTTAACCTTGTAATATTACATTCATTTTCCATTCGCAATATAAATAACTTAAGCATGTTAAAATCATTTTGCTTCTGGGTAGATGAATTCTCGAAACAGAGCAAAGTTTCATAGCCTCAAAATTGAGAGACTAACTAGAGACTAATAATAGACAGACGTTTGAAACCTTATACACAGTACATGCATGTGAACTTGTGCATTTATCCTCGCCCCTACAATCAGTTCCTAGCGATTTTACTTGTGGTGGACACCTTAACACTAAACATATGTCAATTATCGATAGGTAATCAAATATATAAATATTACTGCATGAGAAACTCTTAGCTTTATAAAAGGGGTTCGATATAAAAGAAGTCCTTTTTTAATCATATTACTAATAATAATAATAAATAGTGATATTATCATTATTATTATTACTATTATTGTTATTATTAATATTTGTATTATTTGTATGTTAATAGTGTTCATCTTTTAATATTACAATTTGCTAAACTTGCTTTAAAAATTTCACTGCAAACTGTGATGTGTATTGGCTATTATGTACATACCAAATATAATACAATAGCCGGAAAAGAAATTTGTGAAAAAAATAAATAAATAAAAATAGTTAAAAAAAGTAGAATATTCTCTTTGTCCCATTCAATCTGCGGTCGGATTAAATTAAAAAAAAAATATTTATATCAAAAACGTTTTCAATCATATTGTTTATTCATATTATTAATAGTTGGCACACAGAAACCACAAAACATTTAATCATTGGCAACATTTTTACTTGAGATATAATATTTTATAAAATTGAATTTTGACTATATTGCTTAAATGTGTTTGTGTGATATAAATGTAGGTCTACTTTTGTTTGTGTTTGTATTTTTTGTTTTCTTTCGCGTTAGTGGACTGGATTTGTATTTTATTTATTTTAAATTTACCTGTATTTATGTTTGGTTATTTTTATTTGGCTTTTATGCTGTAAATCGTTTATAAAAAAAAAATTTGCAATGCTTTTGTAAAGCTTCATTAGAATATTTTTTATAGTATGGTTTGTAAAAGGATTTGTTTTTCAGAAGGATTTGTCTGTTAGTAGGAGGCATAGTTGTGTTCGATTTGGATATGACAAATAAATGCATCGATTTTTACAAAGATTTTTTTAGGTTAGTAATTGAAGTCTAGATAAAATAGATTATAAAGATATTCTAGGAATAATTTTCCTGTAGTTATTAATATTTAAACCTTTGCGTTTGTATCTAGAGCTATAAATTTGCTCGCTTTTGGGCTTTTGGCCCTTTTGGCCACAGCTTTCTGGGCTGCATTCTCATTATGTTGAATATTTAAATTTCAGCTTTGAACTAAGCACTAAGTGGACATCTATTTGTATTTAAGTTTTTAATATGTTGATTTAATATGTTTTGCTATAAATTTTGACTAATTTGCTGGTCTTGCACAAAAGCTAAATTAAACGAAACGCAACAAAACTCCTTATTAACTTAAGCTTAAGAGCGGGTATATTAACAACTTAGAATATTAATTAGTACACGTTACACAGTACACGAGCAGCGATCGGGCAGCAAATCAGCCACTAAGGAGGTTAACCTGGCGACGCCTTAAAGCTAGACAAAGCACATGGAATTTTGGGGGCACATCCACTCACAGATTTGCATGAATTCAGTGGCAATGCCGAAGCAGCTGTGCCAGTAGCAACAAGGAAAGCAGCTGATAGATGGGCGGCAGCAGGGCTCCGGCTGATACCCGTGGTTCCAGGGACAGAGTCTTGCATTTCTCCACTTTCGTATAGTCACTGAAGCCGGCCAGATTACGCGAGGCAGCGCGTATTAGATAGACGGTATCCGGCTCCAGGTTCGTTATGAGAAAATTGGCACCTGTCGCAGAGAAATGAAAAAGCTATTGTTGAATAATGGCAACCAGCTGATGCAGCTGCCGCTGCAGTTGCCGCTGCTTACCCTCTTCGTAGGGAAAGTCCTTGCGCTTGGCATTCGTCCATTTGCCCGCATCCGTTTTGAATTCCAGCTCCGTCATATACTCGATGCGAAACCCATTCACATCCATGAGTCCGAGCTGATCCTTATCCCGCGGCGCGCTCAAATCCACATCAAAAGTATTCGAGTTGTAGCCGCGCAGCTGAAAGACGAGCGGCGGGGGTGGCTTTTCGCCCTCATCCAAGCGCGTGATGCGCTCAATGCTGCCCAAATGATTGTGTGCACGGCACCGATAGCTGTCAAAGGCCTTCGCATCTAGCACATGGATGGTTAAGCGCGACCAATAGTTCTCCGTCTCAATGGTGTAGAGCTTCTCGTTGCTTTCCAGCCGTTTCTGTTTGCGATACCAGTTGAAAGTAGCCGGAGGCTCCGCCTGTGCCTCGCACATGATGCTCGCTGTGCCATTGATGTACGCATATTGCAGGCCCAAATGCGACTTGAGCGTCCAGTGTGGCTTATCTAAATCAATTTAATTAAACACTTCGCTATAAATTATATTTATTAAGCGTTTGTCTGCAGTCTCTGTCTGACGGCATTCAATGTTCAGCGGTCGCTCAAAAGTATGCTACGAAATATGCAACACTCATGCGCTTTCCGCATAAATCAAAAAAGCCCGTCAATTCTTCGCGCAAGTTAAGTCATTAACTACATATGTGCCCCGCCCACAGCACGCCCCTGCACAGAGCATAAAACATATGCGAACTAAGCGTATGTAATTTTAAAATATTTCGTGCTCAAAAAACTATTTGCCGCTCAGTGCGCTGCATACTAAAACGCGCACAAATTTTAGAGGCGCTCGTTAAAGCTGCTCAAGTAATTTCCCTGCCATTCAATACAAAAGCACACTGGGTCGAGTATGCGTTAAAATACGAAAAAAGAAAACTAAGTAAATAAAATTATTAAATGTTAATAAGAAAATTTGAGTATAACATTTTCGAAAGATTCATTTTGGGAATTAAAATTCCCTTTACATAATAAAAATATGAACATCTCTGACTTGTTACGTTAAATTATAGGTTAATAATACTGAAAACTTGAAAAATGATTTAATACATAAACTTAAACTTCAAATACTAGTACTGCTTATTAAGTACGAAAGAGAAATTCTTAAATTTTAAAAGCTCTGAAAATTTGAGTAAGTATACGAGTAAAATAGTATTATTAAATAAGAAAAAATATTTATATTTATATTTTTAAATAAGGAAATAAATAAAGAAAAAACTGACTGACAACTTAAAAAAAATCGAACAAAAATTAAAATAAATTGTAGATGAGAGAAACAGTTTGAAAGGCATACAACGATTTACCATATATTTGATTCTGTGTTTAAACTAAAGGCTTAACGATTATTTTGGTACTGTTTAATATAGGACACGTAGAATTGAAAAGGAGAATGCGGAGGAGATTTCGGAGGTCTCAACCAATCGATCTCTCAAATCGGTTTATATAACCAACCTTTTTTTGATTGATGAATAATTTATATTGTAATTATTCAAATAAGTTGAGTAGAAGTTGTTCTCTTAAAAAAATTAAAACAAACAAATATAAATCATTTTTGCTTCTAAACAATTACTCAACAGCATAACTGTTTTAACTAAATAATTTATTGTAAGTTAACTTTAGCAAATTTGGCAGTCAATGCGCCCTAACATTTAAGTCTTTGTTTTCTAATTCCTGTCGTAGCATGCTTTTTTTCTGTAAATGCCAAATTTTAAACCTATTGACTAGCAGGAGCACAATTTGATTTGCTTTTGTTCAACAACTTTTTGTCCAGTGTGCATTGGCTGAGTTGAAAAATCATAAATCACACTCACGTTCGATTTTCATCAAAACTGTGCGCTCCTGCATATCGGAAGCAATCGAATTCACTTGGTATGCCCGGCACGTGTACTCGCCGGTGTCACTCTGTGTTACCTTGTTGATGAGCAAACCATCGGCCAGGATGCGAAATTTCGAAGCGTTTGCTGCCAAAATGAGAGAAACATGATGATAAACGGGTGCAACGAGAAAATCCAAAATAAAGCGAAAATATCGAGAAAATAAGACTGCAGCGTTGTGTAAAGCTCATTAGGATTGGCGACTCACCCTCCACGCTAATGGGCTGTCCATTGAAATGCCAGGTGACATTCGGTTGCGGTTCGCCCTTCAGCTCGCATAATATTGTTGCTGTTTGACCTTCCTTCACGGTCAGTACGGTATCCTTTTCGGTGAATGTAATTTTCTCTGTGTGTGCATGGGCGTGGGCGTGTGCGTTTGTGTGTGGCGAGAATACAATGAAAAATTAATGAATTTGGTTGTTGGTCGCTTGTTCGATCTCTGCACTTACGATATACAATCAAATCGAACGATTTACTATGCAGCCCACCCTCAGCGGCCTCACAGGTCCAATTGCCCTTGTCCGCCAGCGCAATGTGTGCAAAAACGATTTTCAATTGTTCTGTGCGGCAAAGGAAGTAAAAAAAGATAAATCAAATAAAAAATTAAACAGCGAAGTGCACTCTGGTTTATAGTTCGCGACTACGAGAGATTCTGTTGCAAGCTTTAAAGCAATGTACATTGATTTTGTGCATCTATAATTAAGAGATTTATATTCCATGTACATCAGAATCGGAATCATCCGATTCCATGTACTTATCGATGAGTGCATTCTGTTATTTTATTTTATTTTATTATAGCATTCTGTTATTAAATGTAGCATTTAATGCACATCAAAATCTAACGAATTGTAAAGAATAACTATATATATTTGTATTGCTTCGGTAAATTCCCAA